TGACATTGATGGACAAGGCCCGATCCTCCAAAAAGGAGATGCCAATTCCAAAAAATACTGGGGAATTCCTGAACCCTAGTAATCGATTAATATATCCCCACCATAACCCCAAGACTAGGAACTGAGTCCATCAAGGACATTTTTGAAGGATCAGCGAGGTACAATCATAAAAATCAGGCAGCTCGGAGGAGCTTGTTCGCCGAGGGTATCACAGATTCAACCTCGAATTCCGAAGGTACATAATCTTCTTTCAGGTCCGAATTGCCTGGGAACCACACGGCTATGCAAATGCACCTCATATCCCCAACATTTTATTATCGACAAGCCATAGATCGTTTGACGTCAAACAACTCTGCAGCTTACGCCAACAGTTGGCGAACTCTATGCATGCTTATCTCAGCCCTTACGCGGAGCTGAAGGTAACTTCTAAGTCTTCACTCTACAGAGAGAGGTACATAAAGGTCAACAAAGTGATGGATGGTCTATGGGTCCCTCGGGGTTCCCCTCTCGATTCGCACCGGATTGATCCTATTTTGGTATTCTAAGTTGCGTTGAAGCTCAAATGTTTCTGTTCGTTGAATTCATCCATGCCATATTACTCCATACAGTGCCACCGACTAGCCCAACCAGTCGGTTTGCGAGCTTTTACCTTAACTTAATCAAGCACCAGCCGCAAAAACCAGCCCCCTTTTGATTTGATCCACGCTCAAGAATGGAGTACGTACCCATATCTGCCGATTCCGACTCTTCTTGCATCATCCAAAGCAAAACGTCCTCCAGCCACGATGGTCAAGTCGCGTCATGGGGTTTTGAATTGCTCATGCCTTCATTGACCTTCGCCAATGCATCAATGCGTCAACCGCGTCCGGGAATCAAGGACCGGATCAAAACGAACGGGCCGCCCCCTTTATTTCCCCCTTCTCCATGCATTCAAAGTCCCGTGCGGTTGTTGGTCGCATCGCGTTTCTTTTTACTATGTTGTAGTTCAAGGGTAAGGGTTGAACCTCACGACCACCAGGTGGTGGTCCATGCCTCTTTTCTTAGTACAGGATACGGGTCATGATGCGAGCTGTGCGCGAACTGTCAGTTTATGGCATTGAGCTTGTCTCACTTGACTCGACTTACCGCTAAGAGCCTCGAGGCTGTCGTAGATGTCCTTGATCTGCTCATATTTGATACTGCTAATATCGGCCATGAGGTAGGCGTTGTCGCCTCTGCTGTCGGAAATCTGCTTGTCGACGTTGTGGTCGCCGAGAATTTCGTTGACCTTTCGGAGCACACCAGGAACGTTTCGGTGAATGAAGATGACCTATAATGATGGATCAGTATTGAGAATGTCAAAATCGGGTTTCGGCATGGACTTACACGAGCGGTATCGGGCTCGTCGGAAGTCAGCGAACGGAGCTGGACCTCGGGGATGTTGACACTGCCCAGAGTGATACCCTGGTTAATGTAGCGAACCAGAGCCTCGCTGACTGTGTGAGTGTTAGCGATGAGTTCAATGTGATGTTCTAGGTGTGCACTTACCCTCGATACCAATGGCACGCTGAGCTTCCTCGGTGCTACCACCGATGTGAGGTGTCAGGATAAGGTTCCTCAAGCTTCGAAGATCCTCGCCCCAGGCGTTGAGGTCGTTGGTGAAGTAGTCACCGTTGGCAGCGGGCTCAGCGGGGAAGACATCAAGAGCAGCACCAGCAACCTTGCCGGCACGGCTAGCCTTGATGAGAGCGGGAATATCAACAACGCTGCCACGGCTGGCGTTGATCAGGTAGGCTCCAGTCTTCATCTGCTCGAACTGGGGAGTAGAGATCATGTTGCGGGTCTCAGGGAGATCAGGGACGTGGAGGGTGACAAAGTCAGCCTCACCCAAGAGCTTCTCAAGTGTAGGAACCTGGTTGGCAGTTCCCAGAGCCATCAAGGTAACAACATCGTAGTAGATGACGTTCATGCCCATAGCCTCAGCGAGGACGGATAGCTGAGAACCAATGTGACCGTACCCAACGATACCCAGAGTCTTGCCTCGAATCTCCCAGCACTTGGAGCTGACCTTGTTCCAGGTGCCTCGGTGCATCTCGTTGGATCGGTCACCAAGCTGACGGGCAAGAACGATGATCTCGGCGATGACGAGCTCAGCGACACTGCGCGAGTTGGCGAAGGGGGAGTTGAAGACGGCGATACCATTCTTGGCGGCGAACTCAAGGTCGACCTGGTTGGTACCGATACAGAAACAACCGATGACGAGGAGATTCTCGGCCTGTCTGAGGACCTTCTCGGTGAGCTTTGTCTTGGAGCGAATACCGATGACTTGAACGTCACTGTGATCACCGTTTGTTAGTATTCATGGTGGGGTGGGTGCACGGAGCTCATGGACGAGGGGCATTTGTGAAGCTGTCCACGGAGGGGCACAGCACAACTTCACAGAAAAAAAAGTTGACGGATGGCGGGGTATTTTTGCGAACTCACCGAATCTTCTCAATAAGCTGGTCCTCGGGGAGAGAGGTCTTGAGGGCCTCGACCTGGTAGCCCTGGGCCTTCAGGATCTCCTGCCCGGTCACATTGACGTTCTCGAGAAGTAGAATCTTGATATCCTTGGTGTTGAAAGGCTTCAGGTTCTTGGGCGCACCACGGTTAGGGAGGTTGGCGGTCCAGCTGGGAGGAGACTGAAAAGAAGCAAGCGGCGAGGTGGCCACGTTCTTATCCCAGCTGTGAGAGACCTCGCCGCGCTGGGCAGCAGCAGAGAGGTTGCTAGCGATGTTTTGGGGAGCAGGCGCCATGATGAAATGTGTCGACGGTCGCGGTCGGTGTGGTGTTGTTGGAGAAGGGTGGAGGGGTCGTAGAACAGCGGGGAGTTGGGCTTCGTAGGGAGGAATTGGAGAGCTACCGTATGTGAGATCGTTTAATTGTGAACAGAAGAGGTATCAAGGTATTGCCCGCTGTCTAAGAAAGGATGAGATTATGGTGTGTTGAGAATTTAGAATACTAGGAAGAGACTCGGACGATCAGGAGGGGAGTCAATTGGTTTTATGATGCCACCAAAATCAACGTATGAGCTGGACTACCTATGATGAGATGACTCCAGTCTAGCCAGTGCTGACAATTCAGTCGCGACGGGCCGGATGCAGCACCAGAATTCAGGCAAATAGACGTCTACCGACTTCCGCAAACTGACTCATCCTGGATATTTGATGCCATCACTGCCGAATCAGAGGGCATCTACAAGTAAATAGAGCATTCGCTAGGTGTACCCTTGCGGCTCTTAGTCGCATTTACACTACATACGTACATGAACGTGGGAGTGGAACATTGCGGACGTGACACCTTTGGCATAGGAAAACTTTTTACGTACATTAGTCCGCTGTCGGCCACGAAAGAGCTGGCTCTGTATCGTCGAACCATTTATAACAAAGAAAACGAGTTACAAGCCGAATATCCCCTTCGGCGTTCTGGACTACCACGCCGCTAACAATACACTCAGCTCTGGACAGAACCACTTTTTAAAAAAAAAATCATGCTGTGACAGTGGTTGTCTGCTCGCTTTGGCCCTTGACCGAGACCGGAAATGCCACCATGCCGTCACGCAATGGCGTCAATCTCTGCATCTCCCGGCGTCCGGTTGCTGGGGATAGGTACAGCTGTGCGTTACCGCTTCTAGCAGTCCCGCTGGCGGAGGTGATTCCATTCGGTGTGCGGCATAGTCGGAGGATATGCAGGCCGGCGCGGGATGCAGCGGAGCTAAGCGGCGGATAGACAAACGGACGTCCGTTTATTGGTTTCATCCGTCAATTCAACTGAGTATTTCATCTGCTGTCAGTTTCTTTGAAGCCAGTTACAGTACTGGTATGTTTCCTCGTAATTGGTCTTGGATGCGATCGAGTTGAGGGGGTGTTAGTTTAGTAGTGATCGGATGATGCACCTTCTTCTAATTATACCCTACCTACCTACCCTATATGTTGCCAGTAAAGTATTGTTTCTATGGGATTCCGGTGTATACGTTTCAAATGCCTGAGAAGGATTAGGAAGTCATATCAATGATAGTCTTTTACTACTTACTCGGGGAATACTGTGCTTTGAAAGTCATATGGTTGAACCTGTGGAGGTCTAAGTTCTGTAAGTCATAATACGGGGCGTCAACGACGAATGTAGGATGCCTAGGATGGATCATAGTCAACACAATCTATGTAAACAACATGACTCGCCGTTCTGTGACGTATATGCATATCCCCGGGTCACAACTGAGACATTGTCGTCGTGGCGTCGGCTCCAAACATGTCTTGCATTTGTGTGGTGGTAATAACGATCTCACCGCATTTCAATAGACACGAGCATGCAGCCACTACGTCAAAACACGGTACTAATGTAAACACAGCAAACAAAGACCAAGAGGAACAAACAAAAGTACACAGACAAAGCCGGTATATTACTGCAACAACATACAACTTGATGCATCATGGCAGAATCATTCTCTATATATTATGCACCTGGTAAACCCTTGCACCCTTCCCTGCCCTGTAAGAACCATCCCTTCTGTCACTACCTTACATCCATGCCAGGAATGAAAATCAGCGTTATTTGCAAAAAAACAAACAAGTAAAACACAAGACAGAGAGCCCCTGAAAACGAAGTAAGAGAAAAAAGGCTGCAAAAAGAGGAGGGCAACATAATAATCGCGCGGGGCCGACTTGTGCCCTCTGGCTGTGTGTCTGTCTATCAACGTGGTTTCCAGTCCCAGAGTTTGCTAGCAAAAACCTTAGGTTTTGTTTCTTGCAAACGATGCCTATCAAATGACGATGCTACCTTTTTTGTTCTGAAAAAACGGCACCGGCTGGATCGCCGACCTGTCTCAACCGCTTCCCATTTCTGTAGCCTTTTTCTTCCTGTCGTTCACCGCCCACCCTTTTTCTTCCGAGTAGGTCGGTGACTTAGATGAAATCCTTAAACCCGATAAAAGCCAATCATGTCATGAGTGAGAATATGCGTTACGTCGCGCTCTATCGCGCCGCTCAGCTCTGTTTGCACTCAGCAGCCTCCTGCTTAGGCTTGCCAGACTCATCCTGTAGATAAAAGTTAGTTTAGTCCTAAATATCAACAAAGGGTTTGCTGCGAGGTAACGTACGTCGTCGTCAGACTCCTCCTCGTCATCGTTCTCCTCGCTCAGGTCATCCTCGTCCTCATCATCCTCGTCGTCGAAATCGGCACCATCAAGCTCATCGTCCGAGATCTCCTCGAAAGCCAGAGCCTCGCCGGTGAACCAGTCGATAGCGCGGGGGATGAGCTTCTCCTTGATGTCCTCACCGAGCTGGTAGTCGAGCTCGAGGCGCTCCTCGATGTCGGACTCGGCATCATCGTCATCGTCATCGGTAGGAGCCTTGGGTGGCGAGAAGAAGTTGAAGAATGACTCGGTAGGAACGGTCTTCTTGACAATTCGGGTCTGCTTTGTGTCTAGAGTTGCGTTAGTCGCTAGGTTCAAAGAACAAAGGGGGCCAACCCCCAAAATTATCGCTTACTCTTGTTTCGCTGCTTCTTGCTCTCGACTCGGACAGTCAAGTCCTTGCCAGGCAACCACTCAATCTTGTCACCCTCAGCATGGTCGTAGATGAAGTCACCACCGTAGCCACTCTCGTTCTGGTAGTAGTATGTCTTGGTAATGGTGGTGTTCTTGAAGAAATCGTTGGGAGCAAACTCGAAGATGAGACGGAAACCAGGCTTGTCAAGGTACTCCATGCGGATGTCGGTGAGGTGCTTGAGGGCAGCCTCATCACGGTCAGTGATCATCTCAGCGAGAGAGATCTGGTTCTTCATTGCGGAGAGCCAGAACTCGGGGATACCGGAAACGTTGTCGGGGACATCGGACTTCTGCTCAGACTTGGCAGCATCCTCAGTCTCGGGCTCATCTTCCTCCTCACCGGCCTTGATCTCCTCCTCAGTAGGCTCAGTCTTTCCGTTGATAATGGCGGAACGCTTCTCGTAGAGAGGAGAGAACTTGGCGAAGTACTTCTTCTCGAGCTGGAGAACCTCTTCTTGGAACTCAGCCTCGAGCTTGGAGTGATCCTTCTGGATACCCTTAAGACCAGCGACACGTCGGCGGACAGGAGCGGGCAGGGACTCGATGTAGCCCGAAGATTGGCCCACGAGGGAGCCGAGGCGACCCTGAATCATCTGGATAAGCTTGGGGTTTTGGGCGAAAACTGAAGCCGCGGCGGCACGGTCCAGATCCTCTACAGCGGGGTTAGACGATGATCCTGGTGTTGAAGGGATTGGTCCATGACAAGTCATGTAAAACCAAAAAGAGATACTTACCCTCCTTGATACTAGCAACGCCCGGCTGTTGAGCGTGGGAAGAGATGGGAGCAGCAGTTGCGGGTGTGTTCTGAGGCGTACTGGTCAAAGGTGGGGTAGTTAGCATCGTGGATCGTGAAGCGGCGGGCAAGCAAAGAAACAAACAATCCGAGGCAGAAGATTGATATTGCAAGGTAAAGAAGGGAATAACTTACGGAGCCACGGCGTCCTGAGCACGCTTTCCACGAATGGGCTCGGCCATTTTGTCTGATAATGAAGGATCCGAATAGGCGCTTGTGATAAACGTCTTTTGGGGACGAGGTGAGGTTGAGAGGAGAGGGATGAAAGGAAGTTGAGAAAGCAGCGGCCGTTGACGTTTGCTAAATTCTGGTGGGGGGCGATAAGTCTGAAAAAATTTGGGCACTGGGCTTGTACCTACAAAACAGAGCGAGCGAGCAAGACGGGAGTGAGAGAGACGGGGAAGAGAGAGGGCGGTAGGTAAAGGTAGAGACTAGTAGTACTATGGAGGTTCCCCTCGGTCGGTCCAGTCTCCTCTCTCACTTTTTGAACTTGTTGGGCCGCCCACCAAGCACCAAGCTCAACTGGTCGATCGCCTAACTAAAAAAAAAAAATTACCTGCCCAGCCCAGCCAAACTGTGTGAGAGGATCCAATGGGTCCCCTCTCTCCTCTGGGCGGGCTCTAGGTACCTAATAGCTTTGAGTGTGGAGGCGCTGTAAGAGAGCGGAGAAGTGAGACAACAGAAACCCAAGGGAGCCGGGGAGTGGAGGAGACCTACATACAGCCACAGTAACACAGTGCATTTCCGAACGTGTTCACACGCGGCCACACAATTGCAATATGCCCTTTAGACTTTGTTTCCATTCTGTGGCGTCGCACAGGGATTGGATGCCTGATTCTCTCCGACTCATCCATTCGCAGTGCAAGGGAAGCACTCGCCACAATCTAGACGGATTCCAGAACACAAACACTCTCAGATCCCTTGCCTATCAAAGTAACCCTTCCCCTTCAGTCACCGGCCCTTCTCTTTCAGTCACAAAGGTTCTGGAATGGTGGCGCCCCCAAGGCTCAAACCAGGAACAACGACGACATATCGACGACATCCTGTCCTTGATAGAAAGAAACGGCTGAAAAAGGTGACTGTTGTGCCTTTGGCTTCTTTTGTTGACTAGATACACCCGGCCTTGCCCGAAAGGGAACACTCGGGTCTGATGGCTCATACATAATCTCGGGGAACCGCTTCAAAGTTACATGTTACATCGAAGAGTATGAATCAAGCGAGGCCAACCCTACAATATCTACTGATAGTAGTTCGCTTGTTGGACACGTAGGTACCCAACCATCAAAAAGCAAAGGGCCACGGATGGATCCGAAGTAGTCCTGACCAAGAACATACCCCTTTGGCTCGGGTAGAAGGGTTGAAGCACAAGCATATCCAACAGCTCAACTGATGGATGGTATCGTATCTCTCTGCCTACCTACATACGCGTGATAGAACGTGGCTCGCACGCACTGTGATGGACCCTGCACGATTGGCTGCAGCTTTGGTGAATCTCCGATACCAACAAGTCGAGGGATGCGTCACGAATCGCGCGCGCCCTTGTATCGTGAAGGAGGAGCGGGTTGTCCATGCAGCATCCTATTCGTCCACCACTTCTTTGTCTGTTGACAATAGATAAATAAAAAAGCGGTCGTCAAAGTGGTCGAACAAAGAAGCGGATGGCATTCACAACTAGATGCTATAGGTGGACAGCAACCCCAGACCCAGCCAAATTCTTTACCGAGGAACCTTGCTCATAAAGCACCACAATCAGGAAACAATTTGACGTGGCCCACGAGTTAACATGTTGGCCAATCCTGTAGCTATTCTATGAACACTCTGAGCCAGTAGATAACTGCATGTCATCACTAAACTCTCAGAGTTATTGACGTTATGGCCTGAACCTCGCTATTCTCAGCCTTGCGTCTTGTACTAGAAACAGCCAATGATGTTTGGCGGGGCCAGTTCGGCATATCGGTATGCTTCTCCGGGTCAGCCTTGGTCAGGGCACGAGCGCTGAGCCAACGACGTAATCGGGCGACCTGCAACTTATACGCAAAATTCTTATCTCAACTTGAGAATTTGTTTGTGTATCATGCGAACCAATTCTCCTTAATCGAATTGATGGATGAAGACGCTCCCCTTAGCCCGGAGCTGGGCCAAGATCATGGCCATCGCCGCCACCGCGCATCCAATGCCAATGCCAATGGCAACGGTCGCGCTGGACTTTATCGAATGAGCTCTAATCAGAGCAGGTCGAGCATCTTTGAAGATGTTGAGATGGCGCATGAGGAGGTAATTAGCAAATGCTCAAGCCATTGTCATTGTATGATCGTAAATACTAACGATCTGTCCTTATCAGCTTTTCTCTGGTCCTGTTGCCGAAAGTCTTCCCACCAGTGTCTCGGCATTTTCCCATCGACGACCTCGCGCCGATTCGACTGCTAGCTTCGCCTACTACGATGACGATAACGAAGGATTTCCCGATGATGACGACGCCGAGAGTGTCGCTGTGCAGAGCATTGCTGGCGATTACGTCCGACGCAGCGTTTCAGATATCGGAGATTTGGAATTTGGTGTTGATGGCGCCGAGGAATACGACGAATCCCCAGAACGAGACTATCGCATTTCTGAAGACAATTATGCCCTGCGCAGACATTCATCCGCATACTCTCGCCATTCGGTAAACGCCCATCTCTTACGACGAGATAGTACAGCTACTGCTGGAAGCTTTCGTCGCCATGGGCGTGTCAGTCAAAAAGTTTATCTAGAAAACGAAGATCTCACCATCGTCATCGCCGGTTTCAAGACAAGCAAGATTGGCTCTGCGATCTATATCTCTTTGTGTATCCTTACCTGCGGTCTCGCTTATCTCCTCTTCCGATGGCTGCCCCGGTGGTACGTTGGTCTGCTTGGACAAGCAACCTCGCTTGGAGAATGCGAATGGGTCGTGATAGAGAACCAATGGGGTGAACTTGTCACTATGGATGTCCGATCTCAGATTTATGGCCGATCTTTGTCAACAGTTTTTGGCCTGCCAGAGAAATTCTACTCCGATGCATTGGACGAGGATGTTGACCCTATCATTGACGACCTCCGAACACTAGATTATCGCTACATTCGACTGTGCTTCCACCCTCTTAAAGACAAGTTTATGCTCTTCAATGGTTGGAAAGATCCCAACTGGACCGATGTGCGACTGACTCGTGCTGGCCTGGATACCGATGAGAGGGGAGTTCGTGAAGTTGTCTTTGGCAGCAACCTCATCGATATCGAGCAGAAGACAACTGGACAGCTTCTAGTGGACGAAGTTCTGCACCCTTTTTACGTCTTTCAGATCGCCAGTCTTGTCCTATGGTCCATGGACAGCTACTACTATTATGCGATTGCTATCTTTCTCATGTCGGTTGGTAGTATTGCTGCTACCCTCATTGAGACTCGAGCTACCATGAAGCGTCTCCGCGAGATTTCGCGATTCGAATGTGATGTGCGAGTTCTGCGAAACGGTTTCTGGCGATTCATCAGTTCAAGTGAACTGGTACCTGGAGATGTCTACGAATTGAGCGATCCCAGTTTGACACAGTTTCCTAGTGACAGTCTTTTGCTCACCGGTGACTGTATTGTCAATGAAAGTATGTTGACTGGTGAATCTGTTCCCGTTTCGAAGTTGCCAGCCACCGATGAAACTTTGCGCACAATGGACCTGGGAGCGTCGTCGGTCACGCCTGAGACCGCCAGGCACTTCCTATTTTGTGGTACCAAAATCATCCGCGCCAGAAGGCCTCAGGAAGACCAAGGAGACGACGCTGTTGCGCTCGCCCTCGTTGTCCGGACTGGTTTCAACACTACAAAAGGTGCCCTGGTACGATCGATGCTGTTCCCCAAGCCCTCAGGTTTCAAGTTCTACCGTGATTCATTCCGATACATCAGTGTCATGGCTATCGTTGCTGCTATCGGATTCTTGGCTTCATTGGTTAATTTCGTTAGACTTGGTCTTGCATGGCATCTCATTATTGTGCGAGCGCTCGATCTCATCACAATTGTGGTGCCTCCTGCCCTGCCTGCAACTCTGACTATCGGTACCAACTTTGCTCTCAGTCGACTGAAGAAGAAGCAGATCTTCTGTATTAGTCCTCAGCGAGTCAATGTCGGCGGAAAGATCGATATCATGTGCTTTGACAAGACAGGAACGTTGACGGAAGAGGGACTGGATGTTCTGGGAGTTCGAGTCGTTGATCGCGACTCGAAGAAATTCAGTGAAATTGTGACTGAGCCTCAAATGCTCTTGGCTGAAGCCACACGACAGAACGCCCAGGATACTTACCGCGCTGCGCTGCACACTATGGCCACCTGTCACTCTCTGCGGTCTGTTGATGATGAGCTAGTCGGAGACCCGCTGGATCTCAAGATGTTTGAGTTTACACGCTGGACATACGAAGAAGGAAAGCAGAGTGCTTCTGAAGAAGATGAGGAGCAAGGTGGACTGGCGCCCTCCATTGCTCGACCCCCTAACGTATGGCTCCTGCGGTGACAGTGGGAAACCGATTACTGACATTCTTATAGGGCAACATCGAGCTTGGTGTACAGAAGTCGTTTGAATTCGTTTCCAATCTGCGACGCGCCAGTGTCATTGTTCGACAATTCGGTCAGAAGAGTGGTGACGTCTTTGTCAAGGGAGCCCCTGAGGCAATGAAGGAAATCTGTCGCCCTGAAAGCTGTAAGTGTCCTAGCAAACTAAGGATACCTACAACTACTGACCCTTTGCAGTTCCCGATGATTATGATGAGCTTCTGTCGTGGTATACTCACAAAGGTTACCGTGTTATCGGTGTCGCCAGCCGGCATCTCAAGAAGCTTAGCTGGGTTAAGGCTCAGAAGATGAGTCGAACTGAAGTTGAGAGTGATCTCGACTTTGTTGGCTTCATTGTGTTCGAGAACAAGCTTAAGCCCACAACAGCCGCAGTTATCGAGGAGCTTCTGGCGTCCAACATTGGCGCAGTCATGGTAACTGGTGACAACATCTTGACCGCCATCAGCGTGGCCCGCGAGTGTGGTCTCATGGATCGAAAGGCTCATTGCTTCGTGCCGCGCTTCACTGAGGGTATGTTTCAGATTTATGAGCTTTTGGAACCTATTCTAACCTGAACAGGTGATTTCCGTGATGCGGAAGCCAAGATCCAATGGGAGAGTATTGACAACAACCTGTACCACTTGAATGAAAAGACCTTGCTTGTAAGTTCTTGTTGCAGCTGTGGCCATGATGGATCACGACTAACACCAACAGCCTCTACCTCCTCCTCCAGAGGCGGATGCTTCACTGCCTTTCGAGATCACCAGCCTTCGTAACTATACTTTGGCTGTCAGTGGTGATGTGTTCCGATGGATGGTAGACTTTGGGTCGCCACAAGCCCTTCAGCGGGTTAGTAGCTCGTTCTCCATCTCCTGTTACCCCTGCTAACAAGCCTCTAGATGCTTATCAATGGTAAAGTGTTTGCCAGAATGTCCCCTGATGAGAAGCATGAGTTGGTCGAGAAGCTGCAGAGCATTGATTACACATGTGGCTTCTGTGGTGACGGAGCAAACGACTGCGGTGCTTTGAAGGCCGCAGATGTTGGCATTTCTTTGTCCGAGGCAGAAGCTTCCGTTGCAGCTCCTTTCACGTCTCGGGTGTTTGACATCCGCTGTGTCTTGGAAGTCATCAAGTAAGTCGAGAGTAACATTTCGATCGAAGCAGTCTAACCATCTTATAGGGAGGGCCGAGCCGCTCTGGTCACAAGCTTCAGTTGTTTCAAGTACATGAGTCTGTACTCAGCGATTCAGTTCACATCAGTCACATTCCTTTATGCCAGGGCTTCCAATTTGGGAGATTTCCAGTTCCTCTTCATCGATCTCGCTCTTATTCTCCCGATCGCTATCTTTATGGGATGGGCGGGACCTGCTCCAAGACTTTGCCGCAAGCGACCTACCGCGGACTTGGTCTCACGAAAGGTGCTCACGCCCTTGTTGGGGTTCATGCTTATTTGCATCTTCTTCCAAGCTGTGACTTATGTCACTGTCAAGGAACAGCCATGGTATATTCCCCCCGTGGTGCACAAGGATGAGCCTAGCATTGAGAACTCGCAAAACACGGCACTTTTCCTGTTCTCTTGCTTTGAGTATATACTCTCGGGAGTTATTCTTAATGCTGGACGCCCATTCCGGCAGCGAACCACACAAAACTGTAAGTCTTCTCATTCACCACCTTAATGTCAGTACTGACCAGAATTTAGGGCCATTTGCCATAACCATCTCCATCGCGCTCTTGATCACCGTCTACATGATCCTGACTCCTGCTCAATGGGTCATCGACCTAATGCAGTTGACAGACATGAGCTGGGACTATGAACTGTTCCTGATTGGATTGGGTGTTGCGTACTTTATCGTGGCCTGGGCTTTTGAGCACTTCCTTGCCATGAGACTGGCTCGATTGATAGGCTCAGTCAAGCAGTCAGTGACCGGAAAGGCCAAGAAGCGCAAAGAGTATAAGGTGATTGCGGAAGCATCCCGGATTTAAAGAGGAGGAAAACAAGCAAGTTGCATAGCGATTGGGTGAGAACAGACTTATGTTCGTGAGTATTGATTGGAGCCGATATAGAGTATAAAGACTGCGAAGGAAGCGTGAAGCTGTTGGTCTCATTAGAAAGATCAAAATAAAAGACATTTGGTTGGATAAAAGACCAATGCCTAAATTACTATGGACATATTTGCCGAACCATTCTTCGCTGTGAAGGTCTCAATAATACGCATTGTGCCGTTGGGGACAGTTTCCTAGAAAGCACAAGAGTTCTGGATAATTTCAGATTCTGGATTTCCCATCAATGGGAATGCAATCGCTGATAAGGAACATGATATGTTGGCACTCGGAATATCGTGCGCATCACTTCGGAACTGTCATTTGATCTTTTTCTTCAATTCAAGAGCCATTTTTGCCCTATATACACTGCATTGAACCGCCTTGTCCTCTAATATCGATGCCCAATGCCTTCTCTGTTGTAATTGCCGCAGGAATAGAAGTATTTGTATATGGTAATCGTTTAGTGGTCCCAAGGGTGCTTGAGGCCGAGGAGAACGGCACCTGAATTATGTGTTAGCAATTGATCCCTAGAGCCAATCCCTCGCGAGACAGCGAATTATTCAAGACGCACCATCCTTCTTTGCCCGGTACATAAGCTGTTTTGTTTCATTAGCAATTCATTCATCTAAGCGTTGTAACCCTGACTTTGATGCTCCAATCCGCGATTCAAAGTCGCAAGGTTCCAGGGTGACTCACGAAGAACCACATGCCAGCGCCTAGAGCTGTCGCGGTGAATCGGTAGATACGGGGAACGTGAGCCACCGGGGGCTTAGGAGGGCCGTTGAAGCTGTGGTGACCGTGACCAGCCATGATGAAATCGGATGTGATAGTCGCTCGTTTCGGGGTTCTATACTACAAAGACCGGAGACGTTAGTGGGAATTGAACTTGGCGGAGACATTGAGATGAGTGATATATCAGGATTAACGTACGTAGAGACCGAATTGGGAGCCGTGGACGAGACGACGAGGATATCGATGATACGGCAATGGTCAGTCGTAATGGAGTCGTTGAACCGGGCCAATTCGGTGATGGCTCTGCTTAGGTAAGGAAAGCTTGTGATTAGATGCAACCGCTATGGGGGGCATTACGGTTTAGTGCATGGTGCATGCTAATAGTGGATAGAGCGTTGTATAAGAGCCCGTGTTGCGTGCGTGCATCATCATGAGTGGGGTTCCGCTCACTCTAGTTCCGGCAATCATAGCGACGAGACAAGCAGCGCAGCGCATCCCATAAGATACCACCTTGCGTTTTCGTTTTAGAAAAGCTTCGTTGACTTAGACTAAGCTTACATTCATTTTCTCTGTCTGAATCTATTATTGCCTCTCGAATCTCTATCGTTACTTTCAAGCTGAAAACCGTATTATTTTAACTTCCACGTTGTCCTTCGCAAGCCCGATAGCTGGCTTCCTTAAACGAGCTCCCCACGTTCGCCAAGCAATGACCGTCTAGAGCAATCATCCAACGACATATACATATATATATATATCTTCCATTTCTGTGACACGAAACTCGCAAGCGAACGTTACAAACACCTTCGCCATGGCGACTCCAAAGTTCAGCTCGAAATCGCCCACGATTAGACGAATACGTAAGTGGCCAGCTCCAAAACATACAACATACTAGAGCATCGTCACCTCGAATTGATTATCAACCCCGTAACTAACTTGAGAAATAGTTCGTGAAGCAGCCGAAATCTCCAATTCACCTTCTGCCGATTACACAGCCGAGCCCCTCGAATCCGACCTGTTCGAGTGGCACTTCACACTCAAGGGGCCACCCAACTCAGTCTACAGCAACGGCATCTATCATGGTCGCATAGTTCTTCCACCCACATACCCACTTCGGCCGCCTTCTTTCCGCTTCATGACACCAAGTGGTAGATTCGAAGCCAATCGTGAGATCTGCTTGAGTATCAGTGGCCATCATGAGGAGACGTGGCAACCTGCATGGGGAGTACGGACAGCTCTTGTAGCGTATGTTTTCCTCCCGTCCTTGAAGAGACTGCATTAGCTGACATTTCGGCTTGGATAGGCTTCGAAGTTTTATGGAGACGGATGCTCGTGGCCAGCTCGGAGGTCTTGAAACCACCGACGCAGTGCGCCAACGTCTTGCCAACGAGTCACCAGCATTCAAATGCGCAACGTGCGGCAAGACAAACGACGAGATCATCAAGGAATGCGAAGAGCGAGCAAAGGAAGCATCATCAAGTGCACAGGAAGTCGAGATCCCCAAAGAGTTGAACATGGGATGGCGAGATGAGATGGGAGCCAAGAAGGAGGGCGAGAGCAAACCCGGACAGACAAACGACGACGCCGAGACCGCTCAGCTTGCAGAGGGATTTGTTCAGACTGCACCAGATGCTGTCACAGCTGCCAACGATTCTTCGGCCCCTCAACCACCAGCAGAGAACCGAAACCCCACTCCGACCCGAACTACTCCCCTCCCCGTTCCGGCGGCTCAAGGACTTGTACCACAGGCTGCAGCACAGGCACAAGCGCAGCAAGCTCGAAGGGCAACAGACGACGGTGTTCCTTTGTGGCTTGATCGAACTATCGTTGTTTTGGTGGTGCTCTTGGTGGCTCTCGTTCTCAAGATCATCTTTGCTGTGTGATTGCGTATTATAGGTTTTCGTATGTGATTGTCGGCAAGGCGTATGGTGTTTTCACATGGATCAGTCAGTTAGGGGCGAATTAGATATCCGGTCAATTTGAGTCTGATGTGAATACCGCCTTGAACGTGAGGCAGACGTCTTGTATACTACTAATGTTACTCGAATATCCAACCCCAGGGGACAGACGACTTTGGTCCACTCGATTGGTAGAAGAGGCGGACTTTGTTGGGGCATTCTAGTCTTTTTGATGCGAGGAATCTCTCAGATAGGGGTTGTGCTGTGGCCACAGAAGCATCAGCATTCACGACAGGCCAGGCTCACCTGAAAGTCAAGGTTCCTGGCGCCCCAATAATGAGAACTCGAAGGCGTCGGGTTTGCATTGGATGCTTATGTGCGCAGGCTGAACCTTGTCTCAACAAAAATATAAAAGACACCGAATCCCCTATCGTTAAAGTCAAATATACCTGCAGACGCACTATTTTCTACGGTAACCTCCTTTCCATCTCCATCCCGTCATGTTTGGCCGTGAAGATAACCGCTTCTATAGAATACCTCACCTATCGTACACATAAACATCATCAAAATGACCGACACTGATCCTGAAGCCACCCGCTCCCATGACCTCCTCGACCCTCGGAAGTTGAAGATGGCCAATCGCGGGTACTACATCCAGTCCAAGATTCTACACGTCCCCGATCAATTCGGGTTCTTCTCTGCTGGTCCACCTTGGCTCCAGGTAATGGATGCTGAGTGTTTCACCAGGGTATTGGCGTATTTAGCAATCGTCGGCACCTTGGAAGCATTGATCCTTGCTTATTTATGGCGGAATGAATCCTTTGAGTGGTTTGTGGTCTATGAATTTTTGGTGATAAACTGCGAACTCATCGTGGCTATCTGGATTATAGTATGTGTCGCCCATTACACCAAGCGTGGTCACGACGAGGGGTCCTGAACTGCGAGCACTATGGCAGAGAACAAAATCTGAGGCAATGATGCAGTGGTTGGTTGATTGACGAGGTTCGTTACTTGCATTTAGGACTCAGCTTATAATCTATGAGCAAGATGGTCTGGGCAAAAGGAGTCGCAAGGGGCCGTTGTAGTTCAGCTTGAGGCAGACGGTATAATCCAGTTTGCAGCAACGTCTTGTACATACGACCATACCTACCAGAATACGGGATCCCGTCCGCTCTCCCATAGTCATAGTCAAGCTGGTAAGGGGCGGATTAGTAGTTGGGTCGGTGACGACCAGCGAATCCCCGCTGTTGTATGTTTTTGCCATTTGTAGCAACTATTACTTTTCTTTTACTTATTTCAATGACAAGCCAAAGGCTAGTTTATCTTTAGAAGAGGCTATGATGATCTCATCCTAAACTTATGATGAATTGGTCCTAAGTTATACTTAACTATCCTAAGTTTAGGATCTCTAGTCCAAGTTACTGAATCACTCGTGACTACTCTATCCAATAACCTTCAGGCCAATATTAAGTCATAAGTAAAACAACAAGACGTGAACCGGATGAAACACGTAACTTAACTATAGATCTATCTCGGTCCCTAAGGTTGGACCTGTCGTAGCAATTCTATGCGTCCTTGTACTGGGTGGTCTCCCTTTGTATGCTTGGGCATGTCTAATGCCTCCTTGAAAAGAACGTTGGCGCTTGATGTTTTTGTCTGGTGACGGGAGATATCGAGTTTCAAGGTCTCTCTGTCTCTTTCCCGTCTCGAATTTTAAAGCCTATTGCTTCTGTTTGAGGAGTGTCTGTAAAGTGAACTCGCTTTCGTCATTGGATAGGGAGAAAGTAGATCTGTTTGCGGTAGTGGCTGACTTAATTATATGTGTCCGGCTTGACTCTGAAGCCGTAGCCTAGCACTCTCGCCCTGAAAGGACTGGCTCTCTTCGCTGGTCTCGGAAAGGTGTGCTCGTACTGCACAGCATCCCCCTTGGATAGCCATACTGTTCCCCTGGCTGTCTGCTAGTCTTTGACATGGCCAATGTCCTCTCTTCCAGCGGTGCTCACACATTTTGTATTATAGTCCGCAAGAGAAGTTTTGGATCAAAGGATCACAATTCACATCCTGTGAGGGGATTTTTTGGTAGCATCAACCGGCTAAATATTCTCAGAAGCTGAAGGTCGAACTGATAAATACGCCGCATAAGCACAATAAATCAGGGGCTATGCCGGTTTCATTGAGCTTTCCGGCTATTTCATGGATATCCAGTTTCTGTGGTCGTTGACGGGAAGCACGCAATCGACGAGATTTGGTGAAACGTTATAATCAATATATGGATATAGAAAAGCGTGTCTTGCTGCGACATGGAGATTGCCTTTCATGTTTCTGGCATGATCAAGTTCAGTCGTTGTTACTAACAATCGTGGAGAAGAGTAATGCCCGCCCTTCTGCATAAGACGCAAAGTTGTGACGACTATATCGTGTAGAGATATTATTTAGTATGGCAAACTATAATGGTTTGAATTTCACCTCAGTTTCCTGCGAGGTATTCCTAATTAACAAGGTATTTTAATAACTCTTAGTCTTCCACTTCTCTCCTGGCCTTGAGCTGACGTCCACATTGCCACGGTACAGCTAGCCACCACCACTCTCCGACTCTGAGTCCAAGGCCATCCTCATCCTCTTCAAGTACACCAGTTTTTATGCCCCAGTCCATAATAAGCTCGGCCTCGAACTCCTCGAGGATCGGCTTGAGTGCGTTACACACACCCTCGATAGTAAGATATCCTCTCGTAGCATATACAAAACAGAAAGCTCCCAAGACGTCCATCCACCGCTCTGCATCTCTACGCCCGAAGAAGTCAACCCATTGTGGAAGCAAGTGCTTTGTAGTCGGTGGTCCTTCATTGATGCTCTTGCGGATGACACCCACATCCTCGTCATATTTGTACGAGTCCGTGGGAGTTGCTTCGATGTTCCAAAAGTAGCTGTCTTTCTTCAACTTGCGCATCTCATAATACCCCGGACGGAAACCCAGAGGGATATGAGGCACATTGACTGGGGTGAGCTTAATCCTTTCACTGGCGTTCAGGTTTGTGAGAGCCATTACAGCTCCGTCTTGGAGGTTGAAAGGAACCTGATAAGCTTCACCACGCCGGAAGGTCGCATCCAGCTTTGACTTGAAGTCTGCTGCATCTTGGTACTTAGTTCGCTGGGCAAGTTTTCCAAGTACATGCCCGAAAGCTTCATTTAGCCTGAAAGGCCTTCCTGAAAGCGGAGGGCGTTTGCTCTTGCAAATGATGCGCTGTGTCGTCAAGACATCAATGGCTTCTTTCAGTATGGCATTGATTTGGTCTTGATCGCCGTCTGCGAGTGTTCCAAACTTTTGTTGTATCTGGTCAACTGTGTAACGACTCTCATCTGTGCAGCAGAGAGATCTCACCCAAGACCTCGCAATGACCTCATTCGTAATCTTGACTTTCTGATCTAGGCCGCTGAGCATATTTTCAACAGTGACAAATGCCGGGGAAGTGACAGCCTCGAAACGGGCATAGACAGATGACTGAGGGTTGTAGAATTTCTCCCGTGGGTCTTCTTCCTCGTGAGTAGCGGCTGCAGAGGTGGAAAAATTATCTTCGAAGTAGTGCCTGGTTGATGGCAGGTCAACACCCTTTCTGCGAGGCAGTTCAAGGGTCCACTCGATCAAGCTGTCCCAGTCATAGTCCATAGGATCCTCGAAGTCGAATTCTGGGAGCTCATTCTTAGAGTACGCAACTATGAACCGATCTTGGAAATCCTTGGTTAGCTTCCTGACATAGGCACCCTGGTCTCTCCGGGCATCGATCCAGAACCGGCGGATATCTTTGAGGGCAAGATTAGGGAAAAGCTTAAGGAGTAATCCCCAATCAACAGACTTGTCGGCACCACCAAGGAGAACACGAACAGCGACCAAAGCAGCTAGAAGACGTTCTGAGTCACTGTCAACGGAGCTTGGGCCGTGCTGGTCATTCTGGCCTTGCTGTCTCTGCTCAGCTTCCTCAGGAATGGGCATCAGAGCTCGTGTGACCAGGCGCACTCGTTTGACTCTTGGTTGTTGTGCTAGTTGCTGCCGACTGATGGACGCTCGAGGTCGGCTGACTGAGCCTCGGCCAACACCTCGGCCTCTTGATGGGCGGCCGGCGCCTCGAGCAAGCTTTGGTTGCCTGTATACCGGGAACTCGGGCCATTCAGTGCTATCATCTTCCTCATCAGACGAAGCGTCCACCAGAAGAGCACGGTCAGGAACATCTCTCGGGAAAGACTCTGGGGTAAGCTGCCAGTCCATAGGCCAAGAAAATTCAGGGGCTGGAGTCTCAAGCACTTGATCGTCCCTTTCGCTCGAGAATGAGATGAATATGTTGTGAGGGCCGGCTGCTCCTGATGGCGCATTAATGAATGATTCGGACCACGCTCGCTCCAGGTCCATGCAGCAGTACAACCTCTCAATAAAGCACCGGTATGGGTCAAGAACATCTTGGCGCTGGAGCTTATCGCGGTTGAGTGAATGCGCTTTCCTGTCAATCATGTCTATCATGGACGACCAGGCAAACCAATTCGGGTCAGGCATCCAACCCGTCAACGTGTAGCTGGCATCTTGCGTCTCGAAATCCTGCAGTGTAATACGTGGCCAGACACTATCGTAGCCGGAAACAATGATCGGCTTGTCAAAAACAATATCCCCTGAGAAGGAGCTTGAAAGCCGTTGCTCCAAAATAGCCCTGAAGTCATCGGTGAAATAGCGTTCTGATCCTTCGATACCGTCTTCTTCCAGACATGTATTAGGATCCAGAAAACGAAGAGCTTCAGGAGCACCTTGAGAGGACTCAAAGTGTTCATAGCACATTGGCTCTCCTATGTCACCTTGCCACGCCCGGGATCTTGAGGGGCGTCCATCTGCAAACATGCTTTTGCGTTTTCGACCACGCTTTGCAGGCGGAGGGAAGTCACCTTCGTCGTCGTCATACTCATCCAAAGCCCGCTTCTGGGCAGCTCGTGCCACGTATACCGGT